TGTTGAGCACCTTTTTTGTATACCTGTTAGCTGTTTGTATATCTTTTTTGGAAAAATGGCTATTCAGATCCTTTTCCTATTTCTTAATCACATTATTTACTATTGAGTTGTATGTGTTCCTTATATATTTTAGACATTAACCCCTTATCAGACATATGATTTGCAAATATTTTTTCCCATTCCATAGGTTGCCATTTTATTTCATTGGTAGTTTCCTTTTGCTACAGAAGACTTTTAGTTTGATGTAGTCCTACGTGTTCATTTTACCTTTGTTATCTATGCTTTTGGTATCATATCCAAAACAGTCATTGCCGAGACTAGTGTCAGGAAGCTTTTTTCCTATGTTTTCTCTTAAGAGTTCTGGTTTCAGGTGTTATATTTAAGTCTTTGGCCCATTATGAGTTAATTTTTGTGAATGATGTGAGATAAGGATCCAGTTTCATTCTTTTGCATGTGGATATCTAGTTGTCCCAATACCATTTATTGAAAAGGCTGTCCTTTCCCTATTTTATGTTTTTGGTGCCCTTGTCAAAGATTAGTTGATATGTATATGGATTGATTTCTGGGTTCTCTGTCCTGTTCTTTTGATTTATGTGTCTTTTTCTTTTTTTAATGTCAATACCATATTGGTTTGATTTTTGTAGGTGTGTAATATAGATTGAAGTCAGGAAGTGTGATGCCTTCAGCCTTGTTCTTCTTCAGGATTGGTTTGGTATTTGGTCTTTTTGTGGTTCGCTATGAATTATAGGATTTTTTTTTTTTTGTTCTGTGAAAAAAGCCCTTGGAATTTTGGTAAGGATTGCATTGAATATGTAGATCACTTTGGGTTATTTAATCATAACAATACTAATTCTACCAATTTAAGAACATAGGCTATCTTTGTTGTATTTGTGCCTCTTCAATATTTTTCATTAATGTCTTAACACATTTCAGTGTATAGGTCTTTCACCTCCTTGGTTAAATTTATTTCTAAGTATTTAATTCTTTTTGATCCTATCATAAATGGGATTGCTTTCATAATTTCTTTTTCAGAGCATTTGTAGTTAGTATATGGAAGTTCAACTGATTTTTGTTTGTTGATTTTTGTGTCCTGTAACTTTACTAAATTTGTTTATTATAGCTAACAGTTTTTGGTAGAATTGTCAGAAATATATCATACCAAAACTAATGGGATATAGCAAAAACAGTTCTTTTTTTTTTTAATTTTTTATTTTTTTTAAAGATTTTATTTATTTATTTGAGACAGAGAGAATGAGAGACAGAGAGCATGAGAGGGAGGAGGGTCAGAGGGAGAAGCAGACTCCCTGCCGAGCAGGGAGCCTGATGTGGGACTCGATCCCGGGACTCCAGGATCATGACCTGAGCCGAAGGCAGTCGCTTAACCAACTGAGCCACCCAGGCGCCCGCAAAAACAGTTCTTAGAGGGAAATTTATGGTGATAAGTGCCTATAATAAGAATAAAAAAAGACCTCAAATAAAGGAACCTAAGTTTATACTTCAAGGTAAAAGAAAAAAAACTAGAAAAAGAACAAACTAAGTTCATAGTTAGCAGAAGGAAGGAAATAATGAGATCAGAGCAGAACTAAGTGAAATAGAAACTAGAAGAACAACAGAAAAGATCACAAAATGAAGAGCTGTTTTTTTAAGGATAAAATTGATAAAGTCTTAGCTAGACTAACAAAAAAGAGAAGACTCAAATAAAATTAGAAATAAAAGAGGAGATACTGCAGCTAATACTGCAGAAATACAAAGGCTCATAAGAGACTCTTGTAGACAGTTATATGCCAACAAATTGTGTAATCTGAAGAAATAAAGTCATAGAAACAAACAACCTACCAAGACTGATTAAGGAAGAAATAGAAAATCTGAATAGACTTGTAAATACTAAGGAGATGGAATTAGCAATCATAAATCTCCCAACAGCAACAACAACAAACGAGGACCTGATGGCTTTACTGGTGAATTCTACTAAACATCTAAAGAAGAATTAATACCAGTTCTTCTGAAACTCTTCCAAAAAATTGAAGAGGAAGTAATACTCCTAAAGTCATTTCATGAGGCCAACACTACCCTGATGTCAAAGCCAGATAAGGGCACTACAAGAAAAGAATATTACAGACCAATATCCCTAATAAATATAAATGCAAAAATCCTCAACACAATACTAGCAAACTGAATTGACCAGAACATTTGAAGGATCATACACCATGATTAAGTGGGATTTAAGCCTGGAATGCAAGGATGCTTCAATGTTTGCTAATCAATAAATGTAATACACCACATTAAGAGAATAAAGGATAAAAATTGTGTGAGCACCTTAATAGGTTCAGAAAAAGACTTAGACAAAATTCAACATCCGTTCATGATAAAAGTCTTGAGAAATTATGTATAGAAAGAATGTACCTCAACATAATAAAGGCCACATGTGACAAGCCCATAGGTAACATCATATTCAGTGGTGACAAGTTGAAAGCTTTTCCTCTAAGATCAAAAACAAGACAAGGATACCCCCTCTCACCACTTGTATTCCACATAGTACTGGAAGTCCTAGCCACAGCAGTCAGACAAAAACAAACAGACAAACAAAAAAACCCAACAAAAACAAAAAAACAATAAAAGGTATTCAAATTAAAGGTAAGAAGCAAAATTGTCTTTTTTTTTGGGGGGGGGCAGATGCATTGTCTTAGAATTTTCTACTAAAAGTGATGAAATTTTAGCTCACACATTTCCACTTACCCTTCTGTCTTTAAATGTTTGGATAGTTATTATGTTTACTTCCTCTATTGCTTACCTTTGACACTTTAAATAACAGTCTTACATCTCTGTTTTGTTGTAGCAAATTTACATTATTATCTCTTTACTCTGTACTTTGTAAGGTGCAGATATTCTTATTTCTCTTGTTTCTTTTACCACTTCCACTTCCCCTCAGTAGGTGAGCATTTGTCAATTGTATCAAGGTTGGAAAAATTTATATTCTCTTCTGTAACATTTATCTTGTGTTTTTTGGGTAAAATTGATTCTAAAAGCTGAAAATCAATTAACCATGCTTGCACTGTTAGGACATGCGGGAGAACCAAGTAGTATGCTAGAGAGCGAGTGGGAGAGAGAGAGCATGAGTGGGGGAGGCAGAGGGAGAAGCGGGCTCTCCAAGTAGGGAGCCCAATGCAGGGCTTGATCCCAGGATCCTGGGATCATGACCTGAGCCGAAGGCAGACACTTAATTGACTGAGCCACCCAGGCACCCCAGTTAACATACAGGTTTATATTGGTTCAGGTACACAATATAGTGATTCAGCAGTTCTGTACTTTACTCAGTGCTCATCGTGATAAGTGTACTCTTTCATCCCCATCACCTATTGCACCTATTTCACTCATCCTCACACCCACCTCCCATCTGGTAACTGTCAGTTCTCTATAGTTAAGAATCTGTTTCTTGGTTTGTCTGTCTGTCTCTCTCTTTTTTCCTTTGTTTTATGTATTAAATTCCACATATGAGTGATATCATGTGGGATTTGTCTTTCTCTGACTGACTTATTTCACCTAGTTAAACTTTCTCACTTCATCTGTTATTGCAAATGACAAAATTTTATTTTTTTATGGCTGAATAACATTCCATTGAATATGTATACCATATCTTCTTTATCCATTCATTCATCTTTCGATAGACTTGGGCCACTTCCATAATTTGACTATTTTAAATAAATAATGGTGCCATAAACAGAGGGAATCTTTCCTGATTAGCGTTCTATGGGCCCTTTCTGCTCCAGCTCAGGAAAAATTTTAATTTTCTCTGTTCTCCACAATACTTAAAATTATTAGTTGGAAGTTGGAGGTGTTGGATTGCTTCATCCTATGTGTTTTCCTTTATTTGTTTTCTTATTTTTGTTTTACATATTAAGATTGCTTCCCCACTTGGTCTTTGCTTATTCCATTTAATGTAGCATTTTATCATTCTCCCTCTGTATTACTGTTCTTCTCAGAAGCCTCTGAGGATCTAATTGTTTTTATTTTTTGTAGTTTTTCTCTTATTTTGTGTGAGTGATCTCCTTTTTCCAGATTTTTCATTTGCTTTTTTGTTTGTATTTTTCTTTCGCATAATTAGCTTTCTTCACAAATATTGTAGTTCTGGATTGTTGGTTCATTAGTTTCTTGGTGTCATGTATACACGATGGTGCTTATTGACTGTCAGTTTCCACATTAGAATGAGTACTCAGGGAACCAGTCTTTAGGCAAGGAATTCTTCAGAATGCCAAATGGGGATAGGTTTTATTCTGTGATGCCAGAGTATAATTTCCCCTCCCCCCATATTCTCCTTTGGACCCTCCTTTGGCTTCTTTAGAGGTTTGTTTTGTTTTGTTTTGTTTTGTTTTACATAGGAAATAGTAATAGTAGTTAGTAACAATTTTCCCATTCCCCCGTTTTGCCCCTGCCTCTCTTCCCTTTTTCATTCCTGCTTACTATTTCACCTAACTTCCCTTAGGAAGCCTTTGTGGACTTCTTTCTGGCAGGTCACCTCCTTACTCCCTGTTGTATTTTCTGGCACTTAGTTTGGGACTTTGCTTCCTTCATTGTTTCATTTGCAGTAAATGCGTTTCTTCCCGTCTTCCAAAAATTTATTAATATTTCATGTCTCCAAATGTTTTTATTGATATGGATATACATAGTTACAGTTGTTAACCCTTTTTTTTTTAAGGTTTTATTTATTTATTTGACAGAGGCACAGCGAGAGAGGGAACACAAGCAAGGGAAGTGGGAGAAGGAGAAGCAGGCTTCCCGCCGAGCAGGTGGCCCGATGCGGGGCTCGATCCCAGGACCCTGGGATCATGACCTGAGCCGAAGGCAGACGCTTAACGACTGAGCCACCCAGGCGCCCCAACAGTTGTTAACTCTTAAAAAAAAAGAGTATTTCAACAGAAAGGTGTATATATCATAGGAAGACAGCACGTTGCAGTTTTGTAGGTTAATGATTTATTTCTTCTGGTGTGTGTGTGTGTGTGTGTGTGGTCTTTTTGTTCATAAATGTCTTGGAACCCTGTGTACATGAATGGGGCTTGTTGAATGGTGGGTTCCCCTCCTTCCTCCAGGTTGGTTCAGATTAGGATCTGACAACATTGAGGTGTTGTAGATACTGAGAATATAGGCTGGCAAAAGGGGAAAGTCCCAGGCTGCAGATCCAGCTAGAAAGGTATTTTGAGAGGTCAGACAGTTAGCAAAAACAACATTAGGAGGTAAAGTGGATAAAAATATGAACTCAGGAATTCTACTTTTAATCATATTCCCACTGTACCACTTACTAACTTCATGATGCTGGTCATGCAGTGTAATTTCTTTAAATTTTAGTTTCCTTTAAATTTAATTCCCTGTTGGTAAAAGTATGGATTCATAATAATACCTTACAGTTTTGAGAATTGATGAATTAATCTGTTTAAAGTACTTAGCATAGTAAGTGCTCAGCAAATATCAACTACAGAGATTGTACAAAAAAAACCGGCTTCTGTAGTAGAATGTCTAGATTCCTGAATGGGAATGATACTGTTTCCAGCTGAGTAATAGCTGCCCCTTTCAAGTGGGGTATTTGCTTTCTAGTTTGCTGTAGTCCCCAGTATTCCTTATTGTCTTCTTCTCTGCTTGGTTTACTCATACGTATTACCTGCCTTACTTGTTTGGGCATTTGGATTTGTGACTCCTGTCTATTGGTGTTAGGTATAGCTGAAAGAATATCTTCAATTTTCAGAACTGATTTTTCTTTGGTGCTAGGATGAATCACTGCAGAAGACAGAAATGCAGGCAGTAATAACAGAGTAAATTAGGCAAGGAAACTCCGTCTCATCCAGGAAATTCTTGGGAGCACTGGTAGCACACTGGTCGGCATATGTGAATAATGCTCACTGAGGTGTTTCAGGTGAATGAAGAGCCTGATGTTAGGAGTCTGGTGGTAAGTCTCTGGGAGGGCTCTAAGTAGGAATCATACACATAAAACCTGGAAATGCTTAGAGGTAGAAATAACTAATTTATTAATCTACAATATCTATTGACTGCCCTACATGCCCAGTAGTGTACTAGGTTCAGAGATCACAAAGTTACATATAAGAGTCGTTGTCATCAAATTTGACAGGAAATTCTAATACTGTGCATAATGTAAGAGTATCCTTAGAAATCTCCTCGTCTAATCCTATTTTATAATTATTAAAATAAGCATAGACATATTAATCGTTGCCCAAGTCTTTGCTACTAGTTGGTGTTCCAAGACTTCTTTTTTCTAATCCTCCGTAGGCAGGTAGCATCAAAGAGGCCTGGAAGCACATAGTGAGGGTCCCCAGACCTGGGAGAACTGTTACATTAGAGGGGGTACAAAGATTGGAACTTAGGTGTGAGAGAAGGTTATATTACCTTACATAAAACTCATTCTTAGAAAATTGGAGTTAGAGATTCTTTCTGGGGACTCGAAGAAGTAAGTGGCTATGTTGGAGAGGCCCACATGGCAATGAACTGTAGGCAGCTTCTAGGAACTATAGGCATCGTGTAGGACCTGAGGGTGGCCTCCATCCCAGAGCCAGCAGAAAGCAGGGGCCCTTACTTTTACGTGGCAAAAACGTGAGTTCTGCCCATAATCCGAAAGGGCTTGGAAGATTATTCTTCCCTACTTTAGCCTCTAAATGAGAATGCAGCCTAGCTGATACCTTGAATGAAGCTGTGAAGTCCTGAGCAAATGACTCAGTTGAGCTGTGCCCAGACTTCTGATCCACGGAAACTGTGAACTAATACGTGTGTATTGCTATTAGCTGTTAAGTTTTTGCTAATTTGTTACACAGCAATAGAAAGCTAGTACTTTTGTTGTGTCCAAGTATATTGTATTCTTTAGTATAGTGTTATAATGAATATAGCGCTTTACCATCTAATTTTGAAATACCTTGTCCACCCTGTCCTGTGATTTAAAAGCATGACAGTCATAGCAGTTTGTGGTGTGCTGTGCGGCAGTGGGAAGTGACAGGCGTGCCACAGGTGGCCTCTCACAACTACTCAACTCATGTAGCATGAAGCAGCCCTAAATATATGTAAATGAATTAACATGGCTTCATTCTTATAAAAATTTATGAACAATAAAATTTGAATTTCATCTAATTCTCATGTGTTACAAAATGCTATTATTCTTTTCATTTTTTCCCCCAACCAGGTAAAAATGGTTTGGGGGATAGTTTGCAGTGTACGAAACAAGCCACAGGCTGAATTTAGCCTGTAGGCTGGAATTTGTGGCTAGAGCGAGTAGCCAAACTTGGAGGCGGTACTAATAGATAGTTGCTGTAATTGGGAAGGTACTAGCGCTGTTTGAGATCCGTAATTAGAAAATATTTTAATAAAAAATCTAGTTTGTAAAAATATTTTGAAGACTAAAAAATCTATTATGGGTTTTTGAAGAGTTTCTTGAGTGTGGCGAACTGGATGGGCTAAAACAGAAAACAGCTTCATTTCTCACTAACTAGTATTATCATGTATCTAATTGGATTATTTCTACTTTCGCCACTCATAGATGATATCTTAGCTTCCATTGATTTCTTGTCACATATTTATAAGAATAAGTTCACTTTTGGCAATGGACTTATTTTCAGGTATTTAAAAAATACCCGTTCTGGTTTTGATGTTCAGTTTTAAGCTAATTCATTGCTTCTTTCAACCATTGTCTCCCCACCTCTCACTTTCAGACCTGGCTCTTGGCTCTGGAACTTCGTTTGGGGAAGGGATTTGGTTGCCTCCTGATTCTGTCCCCCATTTGTTATGCTGGCCCTTAATCCTCTACAGTTCAGATTGGGTAGAGGGATATCAAAGTGAAAGGGCAAAAGTCCTTTCATGTATGAAACACTTCCATATGCTGTTTCTTTCATGAAGCAATTTTGGTTCTTCAGAGGCTTAAGGACTTCTGTAAAACAAGCAAGCAAACCCATAAATATTGCTGTACACAAGTATGTGCATGCATTACAAAAAAACTCTGGAGCATACGCACCAAACTGAAAGTAATGGTTATTACTTTCAAGGCAAGTGGGATGGAGGACAAGGGGTGTGGTTATCCCAAGGGGTATTTTTACTTTATCTTTATTTTTTTTTTTTAAAGATTTTATTTATTTATTTGAGAGAGAGCACATGAGAGGGGGGAGGGTCAGAGGGAGAAGCAGACTCCCTGCTGAGCAGGGAGCCCGATGCGGGACTGGATCCCGGGACTCCAGGACCATGACCTGAGCTGAAGGCAGTCGCTTAACCAACTGAGCCACCCAGGTGCCCCTTTACTTTATCTCTATTATTTGAATTCTTATTACATGTAGATTGTGTTTTGGGTATTTGATTAAATATAAACAAAAAGCTACATATTGAAAATAACATGAAAAATTGCAAAAGGAAAATTACTTCTAGAAGTAATAGAAAAAGTATAGAAGTATAGAAAGGCCCTTTAAGCTTCTAAATTAAAGTACTGATATGTTCATTAACTCTAAGAAAAGTAACATTTTCAGATAACTTTTATGTTAATGTTATAGGATGGAAAAAACATGAGCTTTCAGATATAGCATGAAGTTTTTTGGATGTGGGTTATTTCTAAAAGTCACATTTTGAAGTGTCGTTGACATATAATATGATGCATAGGTTTTAAGTATCATTTTATGATTTTGGGCAAATGTATACACCTGTGTAATCCTTTCCCAGTTAAGATGTAGAACATTTCCTTTCCCCAGAAAGTTTCCTCATGCTACTCTTCACTCAGATACCCCAACACCCTAGGCAACACTGATGTGATTTTCTATCACTGCAGCTTATTTTTGCTGACTCTAGAACTTCACGTAACTACAATCAGATAATATGTACTCATTTGTTCCTGACTTCTTTCACTCAAATATCTGAGAGATTTTATTAAAAAAAATTAAGTTCTTTTAATATATACAGAGCTATTGATATTTTGTTTCATCTTATAATTCCGTGTTGGATTTTTCAAAAAATTTGTCCATTTCCTTTTTTTTTTTTTTTAAAGATTTTAATTAATTATTTTAGAGAGAGAGAGAACACAAGAGGTGGGGGGAGGGAGAAAGACAAACAGACTCTACACACTGAGTTTGGAGCCTGATGTGGGGCTGGATCTCATGACCCCAACATCATGACCTGAGCTGAAATCAAGTCAGTTGCTTACCCGCCTAAGCCACCCAGTTGCCCCAGGAAATTTGTCCATTTCATCTGAGTTATCAAATTATTGGCATAAAGTTGCTCATAATTGTCCTTTATCCTTTTAAAATTTCTAAGATCTTCAGTGATGTCCTTTCTTTCAGTATTGTTATTGGTTATTTGTATATTTTCTCTTTTATTTTTGATCATTTTTGCTAGGAGTTACCAGTTTTATTGTCCATTTTCAGAGAATGAATATTTTGGCTTTATTTACTTTCTCTATTGTTTATTTTCTACTTTATTGATTTTGTTCCCTGGATAATTTCTTTGGATTTCCTTTCAGGTTCATTGACACTTTATTCTGCTTTATACAATCTACTTTTTTTTTTTATTATTTGAGAGAGAGAGAAAGAGAGGGAGCACAAGAGGAGGGAGGGTCAGAGGGAGAAGCAGACTCCCTGCTGAGCAGGGAGCCCAATGTGGGACTCGATCCCAGGACTCTGGGACCATGATCTGAGCCGAAGGCAGTTGCTTAACCAACTGAACCACCCAGGCACCCTCCAATCTACTTTTAAGTGTATCCAGTGAAGCTTTTCCTTTCAGATATGAGTCTTTTTATTCTAGAGTTTCCGTTTTTTTGTATGATAGTTTGGCATTTATCTGCTGAGACTCCTGTTTTCACTCATTAAGACTATATTTTCATATAAGTCCATGGGATATTAATAATAGCTCTATTAAAAGTACAAGTGATGTCTAATTTGCTCTTCTCTAACTTTTTAAGAAGAAAACCTAGATCATTACCTAAAAGTGTTTTTAAATGTAGGCATTTTAAAGCTTCTGATTTTATTCTAAGCATTGATCTAGATATAGCTTACAATTTTTAATGTTTCATTATTATTTTGTTAGTTTTTTTCTCATTTCTCATGTGATTTATTTTTCAACTCATTTATTTAAAAGTATATTTAGTTTTCAAATATTTGGGGATTTTCTAGATATCATAATTTTTGATTCCTTTTTAAATTCTATTTTGATCAGAGAATGTGCTCTGATATTTCAGTTATATAAGACTTAAATTATGACACAGCATATGATCTTTCTTGGTGAGCATTTAAAGGAAATATTCTGTAGTTTTTGGATGTTGTATTTTATAAATGTCAGTTTAAGTGCAAGGTACTGATGGTATTATTTTAGATCTTCTATATCAGTATACATCCTGCTATTTTTGCCTCCTTTTAAATTTTTTTAAAGATTTATTTATTTTAGAGAGAGAGAGCATGCAAGAGTAGGGGGAGGGGCAAAAGGGAGAGGGAGAGAAAATCTCAAGCAGACTCCCGCTGAGCGTGGAGCCTGATGTGGTGGGGCTTGATCTCATGACTCTGAGATCATGACCTGAGCCAAAATCCAGAGTCAGTCCCTCAACCACCTAAGCCACCCAGGCGCCCCTTGATATTTTTGTCTTCTATTTTATCATTTATTAAAACATTGTTAACATTTTCAACTTCGATGATCTTTTTTCCTTTAATTTTCTTAGTTTTAATTTTGTTAATTTTAGTTTTTTTAGTTTTTTATTTTGCTCATACGTATTTATGATTTTTATGTTTTTCAGTTTAACTGGTATTTTTGGCATTATGAAATGGACCTCTGTATCTTTGGAGATATTTCTTTGTTTTTCTCTTTACTTTGTATGATAATATTATAGCTTCTCAAGCTTTCTTACACTTGCAATTTGCATAGTGTATCTTTGTCTCTTCTTTTACTTTCAGTCTCTTTGTGTCTTTGTATTTGAAATTGTTTTTAGAAATGAATCTAGTTGGATGTTTCTTTTTTATATAGCCTGACAATTTTTCCCTTTTGAGAATATGGTCCATTTTCATAGTCCTTTGTGTGTTTTTGACTGTAGTGTCTTGCTCTGTTTTCTTTTTGTCTCATATGTCTTCTTTTTTGTTTTAATCAGATGTTGTTTATTGTTTTTATATTTTGTCTTAGCTGTTTAGTTATTCCTATTGCAGTTAATTTTTTGTATTTGGTCTAAGTATTAAAATATACATTCTTTACTTGTCACTGGCTACTTAATATTGAACCACATCATTACCCACAAATATAACAATCTTAAAATAATGCAGTTCCATATACTACCCCCCCATTTTTGTTGTCATATATTTTACTTCCATTTTTGTTATAAATGACAGTAAAAATTTATTTGTGCTTTAATCAGTAACTTATCTTTTAAGGAAATGAATACCCATGCATTTCTGATTTCCAGTGCTCTTGATTTCTTTTTGAAGTTTCACAGTTCCTCAATTTGTAGGTTAATGTTTTTCACTGAATTTGGGACAGTTTGAACCATTATTTATTTAAATATTTTTTTTCTGCTCCATTCTGTTTATTCAATTTAATAAGACTTTAACAGCTAGTTAGTAGTTTTAAAGTCCTGTTTTCTAATTCCACTATCAGGATCATCTTGGAGTTTTGTTTCTTTTGACAGCTTGGTTTCCTGGCTGTGGGTCACATTTCTGCTTATTTGCATGTCTGGTAATTTTTAATTGTATGCTAGATATTATAAGTTCAACATTGTTAAGAGTCTGGGTCTTTTGTCTTTTTAAGTATGTTGAGTTTTTTTATGGAATGGAGTGAGTTTAATTGATGCTTTTCTTAATCCTATCTAGGCTTGGTTTTAGGCTTTAGTTGAGCCCTGTAGGGTAGTCTTTACTTTAGAGAATGGTACTTACTCTTAAGACCTGGTCTTTGTGGTGTCTCAGCTGAATTCCTGCAATATTAATGAGTTCCTTCCACCATGACTACATATGAACTTAAAGCTCTCCCAGCACTGTGCAGCCTTTAGTATGTTCATTATTCATTTAACCCCATAGTAGCCTAGGTATTTCAGAATATTGCTACCCACACGTGTAGTCTAGCTTTCTGCCTACCACTGTCTACCCCCAGAACTGTACCACTGCCTTACCTTGTGTACCACTGCCTTACCTTGTGTACCACATCCTGCAAATTTCACTTGTTTCAACAGTGACTGATCTGTGATCACTGTGTATGACCTGTGTTTCACCTCCCTGTACTGTCGTCAGAAAATTATCCCTCCCTAGAGAGCTTGGGTAAAGGTGGGACTCATCTTATGTGTTTGCTTTTTCTTGAAGATCACAGACCACAGTGCCTGTTATTCAATACCTGAAAACAGGTGCTTTATAAGTTTTATTTAGTTGTGTAGTTATTTACAGCAGGATGGGAATTTCAGTATCAGTTAGTCTATTATATTTGGAAACAGAATAAGGAGTATATGTAGAACTCATTCAGTTTTACAAATACCAAACAGAGGCTTACAGTTTTATCTGCAAAGTATGAGTATGGCAGAAATAATATGAAACACCTTAAGCACATTGGGTATTAGGACTAATTGCCTATTTGGGGAATTGCTGGGAATTAATCAGAAAATACTATTTGTGGGGCGCCTGGGTGGCTCAGTCGTTAAGTGTCTGCCTTCAGCTCAGGTCATGATCCCAGGGTCCTGGGATTGAGCCCCGCATCAGGCTCCCTGCTCTGCAGAAAGCCTGCTTCTCCCTCCCCCACTCCCTCTGCTTGTGTTCCCTCTGTCGCTGTGTCTCTCTTTGTCAAATAAATAAATAAAATCTTAAAAAAAAAAAAAAGAAAATACTATTTGTTTCAACTCTTGTTGTGATTGCATTATATAATCAGTTTCAGAAATAGGAATAAGAAGTCCTTAATATTGATCCTGGTTTCTTTATTAGTGACTATGTTTTGAAGTCATTTCTTTAATTGCAAAGAATAGGAATCCACTCAAATTGATCAAACAAAAATAGGAGAATTGCTTAAGCTTGCAAAATTGAGGTATGTTAGATGAGTGAATTTCCTAGAGAAGATGAATGGGGAAGACTCCTCCAAATGCCTTTTTTTGAGCTTTAGTGTTTTCATGTATATATTAGAAAATATAAAAGCAGATCTTCTCCACCTCATAAGGTGGGTGCCAGTATTTCTCAACCTTGTGAAATCACGTTTTTTTAAAGGCCTAGTTCAAATGTTATATAAGAATTGTTTCCCGTGACGGGTGGCAAGAATGTTCTTTGCATTACCACTTTTGAAGTCCATTTCCATGTATTGTTATAAATAATATTTATTAATAAATAGTATTTGAATTATTTCTTAACTTTTTTAAAGAATTTTATTTATTTATTAGAGAGATAGAGAGTGAGAGCATGAGCGGGGCGGGGAGGGGCAGAGGGAGAGGGAGAAGCAGGCTCCTCACTGAGCAGGGAGCCCAATGCGGGGCTTGATCCCAGGACCCTGGGATCATGACCTGAGCCGAAGGCAGACCCTTAACAACTGAGCAACCCAGGCTCCCTGAATGAATGAAGTTTTGAATGAATGAAGTTCAAATGAGAATGTATATTTGAAAAGATTTTGAAAATTTGTATGTATGTGTGTATGGACATATGGAAGACATTTTTATTAAAATCTTTTACTAATTTGCAAAATGTATTCTCTTTCTGCTTTTAAGTGGAAAATCTTATATTGACTTACTGGTAAAAACTGAAATGGCTTTAAGTTGTAGGGTCTAGGTTAGTGAATGTATATTGGCTTATGAAATAGCACATTTTTGATATATTTTTAGTTTTTAATAAATTTCCTTTGTTTTTGTTATCTCTTTGTTATTAAAGTATAGGAAAGAGACTAATGGTTACTTTAAGTCTACTGTGGTTTGATTTAAGTGGGAATCAAATAACAATAATCCATTGCTTGAACTTATGTTATTAATATCCCCAAAATATGTTTTTTAATTCTTTAAGTTGACTAATTTTCTCTTCTAATATTCTAGCTCTCTATCAATATCAGCTTACATCATTGAAAAGATAATTTTGAAGATATGTTTTGCTGAAAAGACAACTGAGAAAAATTTTACGAATGGGATGAACACGCTCCAGTTAACTGACTACCTACTGCAATTTGAATGTTAACAATTACCCACCTGGTACAGTTAACCTAGTGATGTACCTATTCTCACAATACCCTATTTCATTGTGCTTGTCTTGATTAAAGAATTCAAAGTGGAGTACCGCAAACTTGATATGGATAATAAAAAGAAAGACAAGGATAAATCAGATGATAGAATGGCACGACCTAGTGGTCGGTCGGGACACAACACTCGAGGAACTGGGTCTTCATCCTCTGGAGTTTTAATGGTTGGACCTAACTTTAGAGTTGGAAAAAAAATTGGATGTGGCAATTTTGGAGAATTACGATTAGGTAAGACTATTTTGTTTATTATGTTGGAAGCATTTTTTTAAAACTGAAAGTACTTTCTAATGAAAATGATATAGTTATTGTTTAGTTGTTTAATTGTGATAATTTAAAAGAATATAAATGATGGAAATTTCTTTCGTACTTGTATTTTCTTTTTTTTTTCGTACTTGTATTTTCATTTGTAAGGAGTTCCTAGTATATGAATGTCTGTTTACTTGAGATCATCCATCTGGAATATGAGAAAAAAGAAAGTAAATTGAAAAGCCCCAACAAGCTGAAAAAAAAAAAAAAAGGACCCATAAGGAGCCATTTGCAGTGTATTATTTAAGAATGATATTTAGGTTGCTACTTTTTCAGATTTGAAAACATTAGTAGTAACTGACTACTTTAGGAGGGTGTGTATGGCTTAAAGTCAAGGTAATATACTGAAACTGTGTAAAAATCAGTGAAATTGGGGAGCCTGGGTGGTGTAATCAGTTAAGCATCCAACTCTTGGTTTCTGCTCAGGTTGTGATGTCAGGGTTGTGAGATCGAGCCCTCGCATTGGGCTCTGCATCCATTGAGGAGTCTGCTTAAGACTCCTTTACTCTCCTGCTGCCCCTCCCCCCTTCTCTCTCTCTCAAATAAATAAACCTAAAAAAAAAAAAATCAGTGAAATTTACATTGTAATTCCATCACCACCCCCTCCCCAACCAAGTACCTCCAGGGTGGGGCTCTGAAATCTATATTCTTTTTTTTTTTTCCTTTGGAGACCCAGTGGGAGTGGTAGGGGTAGAGGCAGAGGGAGCGGGAGAGAGAGAATCTTAAGCAGGTTCCATGCCCTGCTTGAAGCCCTAGGTGGGTCTCAATCACACGACCCTGAGATCATGACCTATAATGAAATCAGTGTCTGACGCTTAACTCACTAAGCTACCCAGGCGCCCCAAGAAACCTATATTCTTACCAAGGGTGACACAGAGTACTGATTCAGTTTATTTTTGTAATCAGACTGCTTTGGTAAACATTGGTCTAATTAAACCTCCTAACTCTACATTTAAGGCAATTGAAACTCAGTGAGGGAAGGTTGCCTGCCAGATGTCACACAGCAATTTAATGACAGACTCAGGACCAAAATCTAGGCTTTTAACTGCTAGTACAGTAGAGATATGGCTATCTTGAATGAAGAGAAATAACACGGCAGCATGGTTATATGGACGTCAGTACTGAGGTTCCTTGAGGGGTCTGGTCAATGGACCACCAAGAATGGAAACTTGCTATGTAAAAAGGAAAATTTAGCTTTACAATTTTCCTTAGATATAACCCCACTTATTAGAAGTAAATCCAATTGTATGTTTATCTACTTAATTACTTCTCCTTTTCATCTTGTAAAACACCCTAATTTGTAGTTAGTCCTTCATTTTAATACTATTTTGTGTTGTTATTGTGCATTAAATCTTTTCATGAAGCAAGCCAATAAAAGGCAGTGACATACTTTGTAAAGAACTGTGATTGATGTGTCTGGCAGACTCTTGCATTTTAGTAGGGACTCACATATTTGAAAGGGTGAATGTTTTACACTTTATTTCCTGAAGGATATTGAGTTGGATATTTTGAAATTCTTAAACTGTTTCTGATTTTGGAATTGGAAAACGAGGTTATTTACTTGTGTAACTTTGAGCACCCTTCATCCATCCAAAATGTACTGCATGTCTGTCATATAGGAGGCATGATTTAGCACTGATAATACTGGAAAAATTTAAAAATTGTCCCCACTATTATGGAAAATACAAGTCAAGTAACTTGGGGCCTCAATTCCCACTTTAAAATGGAATTATTTCTACTTCCAGTTTATTGTGGAGATGAAATTTAGATGATGATGTAAAAGGACCAGCACTGTACCTGCATATTTTAGGAAAACAGTGATTGTTCTGCTTCCTTAAAAGATGATATTAAGATATTTGTTCTGTTTTAAAATTAAATTGATGGCATGTTGTATGTACTTTTATTTAAATTTATATGTATAAATTAGCTCTATAGGTATATATTGTTTCATATGTATGTATTTGTATTCTTCCTATCTCTGTGGATATGACTATATTGGCCTTTTTTATTTAAAAGTGGTTTCATGTAATTTATTTCAAAATAACTACATACATATTTGTTTGCAAATACATTTATGTGTATATATACCTCCGTGTGTGTGTGTGTGTGTGTGTGCACACACAAAGCTATTCTAGCTGACCCTTTTCACCGGGACAATATGAGAAGCTATGCGTACCATATAGTGAAACTGTATATGCTACATATAGTGAAAAAGCAGTAAAATACCCCTTTCTTTTGCAGTCTATGAATAATCAGGAATAGGAATAAAATGATTTATTAGTCTGTCCATCCATCCCTCCATCTATCCATCCATCCATCCATCCATTTATCATCCACCTGGCTGTGTATCTGTATCTAATCTGTCTATGGTTATTTATTGTATATTTGTATATATTTATTTAAATGTATGATCTGTACTCTGTGTATTTGTGTTTTATGTGTATTTATAATATATATAACATCTATACTTATATAGCTAATTTAGTCATTTTATTCCTTTTTATTGATAGGATACTAAAGAAAGCAGCATTTTACTCCTTTTTAAAAGGCCCCAGATAATGTCTCTGTATAAAAAAAATTGTTCAAAGCATCATTCTTTATATAGCTGTGTAAACATGCTAATGTTAAAAGCTGGTTTGGATTCTAAAAGTGCTTGCTTTAAAACAACATTAATAGGCACATCTTGAATATTTGATTCCTGGCCCTGAAATTTTTGTGATTAGTATTGGGTGAGAAAGAATATAAGGTATACATGTTATAGGGAGGTAACTTTCAGCAAAGGTGCTGTTGGCATTTTGGGCTGGATGTTCTTTTTTTTTGTAGAGGACTGTTCCAAATACTTCATGTTGTTTAGAACTTCCTTCTCCTTGGGCACTAAATAAAAGTTGTACCTCCACATACAACCCCAAATACCTTTCCCCTGCTGTTTTCAAATGCCCCAGGTATTATGCTCCATTGAAACTGCTCTTACAGGTAATTATTAAGAAAAAAAAAAGTTTGACATAAAGCTGGCCAAATGCTTTGAGATTTAAAAAAAAATAGGTAAACATTTTAAATAACGTAAATTACATTTACATAATTGATAATACATTTTTATTTGTTTTTTTATTGTAAAATAATTAATGTATTTTGGTTTTATTTTATCTTTATATGTATTGGTGATAAGACTTGCCTTCTTCCTATTTGTAGATCTGTGTCTAGCTTAGACAGTCAACTGAAACCCCTAGAAATATTGATAGGCACTGAATGAGAACAAACAAAGCTAGCTAAAATACGGTGTTTTATTGTATATATTTTTTCATTTTTCTTCTATTATGTTTTGACATCTTAAAAAAATCTTTTTGCCTGGGGAGAGACTACTCCTGCTGGGTCTAGCCAATTCTTTGAGATAGCAAAGGACTCAGTTGGGAGCATGCCTTTGTTCTGCAGAGTAACCAGTCCAGAGCTATACCGCCTCTGTCTGGCCTGTATATTCTAGGAGGCAGTCTTCTTCATTAATCATCCCATGGCTAGGTACAAGACGAGAGACCGCCTGTATAGCCCAAAGACCCTGGAATTATTTGCCACCAGAATTATTCAAACTAGCTAATCCTGAACTGTTGATCCTGCCCTGCCTTGGCTTTCTGCAGAAACTCCAATAAAGGCTTTGGCCTAAGCTCCCTTTCCTTTGTTTCTGTCTCCCACCACTTGACCAAAACATGATACTTCTCCTGTGACTCCCTGTCTAGGACCTGAGGGGATAATAAACTTTGTTTTACTGAGCCTCTTCTTCTTCTTTTTTTTTTTTTAAGATTTTCTTTATTTATTTGACAGAGACACAGCGAGAGAGGGAACACAAGCAGGGGGAGTGGGATAGGGAGACGCACGCTTCCCGCGGAGCAGGGAGCCCGATGTGGGACTTGATCCCAGGACCCAGAGATCATGACCTGAGCCGAAGGCAGATGCTTAACGACTGAGCCACCCAGGCGCCCCTCATGAGCCTCTTCTATGTCCCCTCTCGTGGCTACCCCTGAATGACCATCACATAAAAGAACACAGAACAAGGGTGTTATAGATAGCTTTATGAGACACTGTATCTGAAATAAGTTATTGTAACTTTTGACATAATGAAGTATACCACAGGAGTTTCAATAACTTTTCTTATTTTTATTTCTTTTCTTCTATATAGTTCATAATTCTTCTTGTTTGATTGCTTTTAAGAATTGTTTTATTGAAAATTCTGCAGGCCTTACGATATATATCAAATAAATATGCAGATTTGAGTGCATCCATCATTTTTATGCTTATTGATTTTCTACTGCTACTAACTGAAGCGTATCATGGAACTTAACTGAAAAATGTAATAATAAGGAACAGATTGTGATGCTCTAACAAAGAGGTCCTAGAATATAGTGGTATTAAGCAAAATAGGTTTTTGTTGTTTTTTGTTTTTTTCACGTAACACAAACCAGAGGGATAGCACTCGGGCTGTCAGGGCAATTCTGTATCCTCAGTATATGGCTTCAGTCTCTGTGTATGAGATTGCTCCTTTGGTTGCTGTCTCCCAGCCAGCCAGCCAGCCAGCCAGCAAGAAGAAGAAAACGGGCCAGGAGAGCACACATTCATTTTTGGAAGTGAGGAGGGACAAACCTTTGCTCATATCTGGAACTTAATCACCTGGCTGCACCAAGCTGAAAGAGAGGCTGGAAATGTAGTCTGTAGCTGGACAGCCACTTTAAAACTGAGTCATTCTATTATTATAGAATGGAAGGCTTGGATATTGGCGGGCAACTAAGTTCGTTCTGTAAACATATACATACTTTCTGTAGAACATAGTTTTTTATAATAATTATCACCCAGATACCACCAAATTGGTAAAACCATCTTCTCAAGTTCAGTACAGCACAAAGTTCTACCCGGAATGTCCTTTGAAATTGGATTAAAACATCAGTTAATTGGAACCGGTCTGCTTGGAGCCTTGTCTTAACTGGATTCCCTCTACACATACACTCCCTCCCTCTCATTCATATTATACACACAAAGACATACTTTGCACATCATTTGTTCATGCATGAAACAAACAATGATTAAAAGCCAAGTGTGTGAGGCTCTGCCTATATTAGGTAACACAAATGCATTGGTAGTATTGTTCCATCATTGTCATGTTTAAAAATATAATCCTCAGAGTTCAACACAAATACTTAATGTTCAAAAAAAGACGATGCTTTAAGGATTTAGTGCTTTCTGCTCTGACCTAAAAGTAGACATTTTATTGTATAAATGCCGGGAAAAACAGTACTTGTAGAAGAATTTGGTATATTTTGGTTCTGTGGATTTTGTATTTAACCTCACTTCTTGTCCTGTGGATAATTTTTCCTTGTGTACCTGTGACTAAGCATCATATGCATGGTTGTGAAAAGATGATAATGTCTTGAGGAAATACAAATTCTGTCTTCGAACTCAAAACAGAATTATTCCTTTGTGAGACACCAGTTCCTCAAGATGAATTTCCTCACTGTATCATTAAATGATTCACTCAGTGCTTACTCGAGGAAGCCTACAATTTCATACATACTGTATTCTTAAAAAATTGCCACCAACATCTAAATGTTGAACAAATTGACTAAAAATATACGTTTTCTGTTTTGTTTTTTTTTTTTTTTAATATTTATGGGATCAGCGAACACGTGAATGTACAGTCCTCTTGAGTTCCATCCCTGTGCCAGCTCTCATGGGTTAGGAGCCTTATGCTATATAGCATTGGTACAAATCCTTGTTTTTTTAAATCTTTTTTTTTATTCATTTTTATAAAATAAGGACAAAATTCAGAAGAGTATTATCGTATTTGTATGAACAAACACTGCTGTGTGTATCTGACACTGAAATTTTGCCTAGTTTTACTGCCATTCATTAGCTACTGTAGAAAAGGAAGTTAGGGGTATTATGGTAGAAAATCACATGTGTGAAAATTGATGATTGCCTATTCTGTGTTCAGTACTTATGTGAACAGGGCCAGTTACCATCACAATAAAAAAAACCAGCTATCATTTTTTCTGTTTTTCTCATTATAAAAATAATACATGCTTATTGAAACAATGCTGGAAATTCAGAAATCACATTCTGTTTTTATTCTTTTTACTGTACTTGTGAAGAAACACGTTAATATATGTATCAGATATTAAATCTTTATTTTGGTTTGTTATTTACCTGTTGTTTGTATATGGTAAATTGTTTTCAACATACAGAGGTTTAACATATTTTATGCTTACCAGTCTGTATAAAATCTTCTTAATGTTTTCCACTTTTTTAAAATGCTCAGAAAGGCTCCTATATGTTGGGTGATTTTTTTTTTTATGATCTATATCTACATTTTAAAATATTCAGAATTTAATTTGGTTTTAAGGTAAGATGTTAATAACCCTTGTTCCCCTCAAAGTAGTTAACTAGTTTTCAGATTCAAATGTTGAATAAAGTTTCTTTCTTTGTTTCATTTTTAATATATTCCAGATTTTTTCTGTGTTAATATATTTACTAGATTACATATGAGCTCTAATGAGATTACATCTCATAATAATGAAGGATTTAAAATGAGGTGGTGGGCGCCTGGGTGGCTCAGTTGGTTAAGCGACTGCCTTCGGCTCAGGTCATGATCCTGGAGTCCCTGGATTGAGTCCCACATCGGGCTCCGTGCTCAGCAGGGAGTCTGCTTCTCCCTCTGACCCTCCCGACCCTTCCCCCCCTCATGTGCTCTCTCTCTCAGTCTCTCTCTCTCAAATAAATAAATAAAATCTTAAAAAAAAATAAAAAAATAAAATGAGGTGGTGACTGGGAAAGGAATTTTGTATTCCTCTTTATATAGGAGTTCTGGTTTTGAGCTTTATTTTAGCATGTGTTTGACTATTGATTTACTTTCTGAGTTGTGTGCTGTATTCCAGCAAAATAATAATCTTTCCATTTTTGTAAGTGGGCTAATGTATTTATTAGTATTACCTTCTACTCTGAATCTGGGTGAAATGCTAAATACATCATTGAGTTGATAAATTTAAGATTTCCTTGTCATTGAGGTTTTTGCTATATAGTTGGAAGCAAAGACTTTTGCTTTATTTAAAGATTTATTAGAGAGAGAGAGCAAGAGAGAGCACGCATGTGCATGCACAGGAGGAGGTGCAGAGGATGAGGGAGAGGGAGAATCTCAAGGAGACTCCCCACTGAGCGAGGAGCCCAAGGCAGGGCAAGATCATAGGACCCTCAAGAGTTGGATGCTTAACCGACTAAGCCACCCTGGTGCCCCCCGCCTTTTGCTTTATTTAAATATATTATGTGCTTTTTTTTTTTCCACCCAGAGTAGAGTTTTACATAATATATCTTTAAAAATTAATTATTGGTAGAATCTGACATTTTTTCTTTCTTTCTCAAGGGAAAAATTTATATACAAATGAATATGTGGCAATTAAACTGGTAAGTTCATGTTTCTAATTTTCCTGTTTTGTCTTTGATGATTAGCTTATAATTTGAGTGTTTACTGGGAAAATGATATGCATAACTGGGTTTTTTGTTGTTAAGCTGCGAGCATCAGCACGCCCCTCAAGTATGTGAATGTGTAGTTGTCTTTCTGTGCCACGAAAACTCAATCCCTTTACTTTGATAGCATTATAGAATTTCATTTTCGAGTTTTGGCACAATTTTTCATTTACAGAAGCTGGCACATTGGCATTTTTAACTATAGAAAAACTAGAAAGCAAAATTTCTCTTAATGATTCAAGCATTTGTACAAAAATGTCCTTAGTATGCAGGATTACATTCTTTGAAAATCTATTTCCAGGTAGCTTCCAAAATCTCTTTTTCTACTGGTCTTTTTTATATGGTAATAACTGGCTCTTGTTTGGCCTTCAGGGAATCAGAGATTATTGCTGTGAGTGGAGGGTAGCAGAGAAAGCAAACGCCCGTGGGACCTGTCTGTAGTCCTAACTGTGCCAACTATGGCAGCTGTAAGGCAGCTCTTCTCTGGAGGAGTTGGGATCTGGGAATTTTTATGAGACCTAACTTTCTTCAGGCACAACTTTTCTTTCTGGCTGGCCAGCCAGGTTTCCCTGAGGTTAAGCACGGCTTGGTTTTTCCAGTCCCCTTGCCATTGTCAGTCTTGCTTCTGCCAAAATAACCACTGTTATTAGGGTAATGTGGGATTAATATAGAAGGAGAGACTATTAGAAGAAGAGGCAACAGATAGAAGTAGAAGAACTGTCGGGATGAGCTAGAAAACTGTACTACTTCATTTTAAGTATCTTTGTGATTGTAGACTGAGTTTCGCTGTAACAAATGCTGTTTATTTTCACTGGGAAGTAAAGATGCACAATAGGGTTGTGACTCCACCAGGAGAGACTGGCTGGCTGACAGGTAGTTTGGGACTGGCTTTTGCCTGGATGAGTTCACCACAGTTTTAAGGTCTGCTCCTTGGCTTTATGATAGCAGATCTGTTTAGGTCATCTTTTAAGATTGTCACTGGCAATTAAAGGTGGATTTATGGTAACCATTCAGTTCACACCATCAGTCAAGCTCTCAGAGATGTAAATATTTGGAAGAATTAACTTCTAATTCAAAATGAGGTATTTTACTATTACACATCCACAGTGCCAAAATCAGTATAAATATGTTTGCTTTCTATCGGCTGATCTGCATAGAAAGCAAGTTAAAATGACAGGGTTCTCTTCTGAGCATGAAATCAGAACAAGGGGCGTTAGTTTGTGTGAATCACAATAGGGAGGCCGGGGTTGCAGGCATTGGACAGTGTCTGAAAGGGCATTGCTGACTTTCATTTCTTTGGAATTCTTCCTTTTTCCATGTTCTAGGCCAGCTGTCTAGGATCTAGACATTGTGTGGTGTTGGGAGTGGGGGTGGCCCACAAGGACAGGAATGTGGCAACACCCATATTTGGTGTTACTGCTACAGCAGCCGCAGTGAGCAGTGCCACTCGGGAGTGCGTGCGTGGTGTTGAACGGACAGCCTGAGGCATATCAACCATGGTGTCAAAGCAGGAGCCACTGCTCTAGGCTGACCTGTCCTTGTCTGATTCAGGCATTAATTGGTAACCCTTAGGTCTTGTTATTCTCCGATTTGGGACTTGTTTACCCTGCTTGCACCACTGATGTCTTAGTAAACATTTAGAATGTCATCTTTCAGTCTTACATATACACACGTGCGTACAACTCTTTTTAGTTTATCTTCATGCCATATCACTATCCCCTTAGTGATTGTTTTCCTTCTTTTTTTTTTTTCGGACAGTCTCCCTCTGCTCTGATTTGCCCCTTTTTATAAAGCACAGTGATCAGCACTACATATAATAATTGTGGTTTCTTTGTGAAACTGGCAATTTTTGGGGATCTGTGTCTAGTATTTTGAGGTTTAAGTATGATGTATAGAGTCACCTTTGCCTTGAATTCATCCAAAAATATATTGGTAGGACAGAAGACATTTCACATAAACTATTGGGCCATAGTTTGGTACTTAGTTTATTAAGTATTTTTGTATATAAAATATAAAATTTCCTTATATATTTTCTTGTTTGTATATATAACATATAACATAATTTTGTTCAGAACCTGCCTTAAAAATAATCACTTGAAAATGTTATGTCTGTCTACCTTCAGTGCCATCTGATTTCTCTATTTTGGTACAAATAGGGGCATTTTGATAACAGTGGTGTTCAGAGAGCAGATTTCAGTGACAACTTTCAGTTCTGCTATCTCTTAGAAAGGTTTTCACGTTTATTTAATGTTTATCCTAGTTCATGTTGATAGTTTGTTTCTGGGTAATTTGTTAATCTGACCTCAGCTGGTACCCTTATCTGTTGTATCTAATAACCTGGTGTTCATGAATAATTAAAATGTCAGCCTGCTAGACTTTTGTTATATGGTGGTGTAATAAAATTTTACTGCTAGTAAAGTACTGGAATCAAGCTGAACTGACTCACCTAAATTAGACCTGAGTTTGTGTTTTTATCTAGGGAGTTTTAGCGAGTGGGTAAGTTATATATTTAATTTCACTGGTGATTGCGTAAGTGGGCATCTTTGATTACATTTTATGGTTACATACTTCTGTAGAGTTAAGTGAAGAATTTATAGGTATTATAGCACTCACTATGTGGAAGGCACTGTTTTAAGTCATATATGTAAATGTATGTATATAAAATATAAATAATAATATGCATATATGTATAATGAAAAGGATAAAGTTTTATCCCTCTTTTGTAGAGGAGGAAACTGAGACGTACAAAAAGGTTAAGTAATTTGCCAAAGCCACTCAGTTAGTACGTAGTAGATTTAGGATTCAAACTCAGAACAGTGTAGTTTTAGTGTCTGTGCTTTTAACTATTCTATCCTGCCTCTCAAGAGCTGAGCTCATTGTTTTCTCTTAAAATAATGTTTATGGCTGTAATTGGTCCCCTGGGATTTTACTCATTCCTTATTTGAAATCCTTGTAATGGGTTATAGTTTCATTATAATAGGTCTTGGTATAGATTTGTTTTTAGTTCTTTTGTTTGGGATCCACATTCCTCCTGAGTCTGTAGTTTGTTGTCTTTCATCAGTTCTCAAAGATTCATAGCAATTACTTCTTCAGTTGTTGCTTCTGCTCACTTCTTTCCCTCCTGTCCTCCTGAGACTCTTATCAAATGTCTATTAGATTTTCTCAGTGTATTGTCTAGGTCTCTGATCTTTCTGCTTTTTTTCTGCATTTTCCATTTTTCTTCTTCCATAATGCATTCCGTATAATTTCTATAGAGGCATTCTACATCATTTTCTAGTTCTATAGATGTTTTCCCTTATATCTTCCAGTTTCCAAAGTCTCTCTTCTGTTGTGTTAATTTGCTGGCAGACTGAGTTTGCAAGTTCAGTTATTGAAGTCTTAAAATTTTTTTGAAGTTCTGTTGATTTTGTTTAAATATTGTTACTTTGTTATACTTTCCTACTAGATCTTGTACAGATTTCCTGTTACTTTGTTAAATAGTTTCTTGCTTTCTACAGATATATTCACACATTTATTGTTTATTACTTATATCTAGAGTCTCCTTTGCTTTTGTTTTTGTTTCTGTGTGTGTGTGTGTGTGTGTGTAAATCTTAAAAACATTATGTTGGGTGAAAAAAAGCCAGACACACACATATAAAACATACACTGAATAATGTCATTTATATGAAATCCAACAACAGATGAAACTCATCCAAAGGTGATAAAAGTCAACAAGGGACTGCCTCTCAGGGAAGGATGATGGAAATGTTCTGAAGGTTTTTTGAGGTGGTGGTTGTGGGAGTATATGTAGTTAACTAAGCTCATGGATGTAATGCTTATGAACTACGTGTTTGATTGTAAGCTATACCCTAGTTAGAAAAGATTTTAAAAATATCTTGCTCCTGTCAAAATTTTCATATTTTCATCTTTGTTCTTTCTCTACTTGTCTATGACTTCCCTTTAACCTAGAACCTTTACATGAGAAATACACAGCTCAGAGGTGAATTCTTGGGAATGGGAGAAAAAAGAGTAGGGCCACCGTTTTCCGTAGTCATGAATGTTTGGAGTATAATTTTCTTCAGGGTCAAAGAGTCAAACATATAGATTTCCTTACTGCTGCTTCTAATAGCAGTTAACCTTATGTACGTTTATGGTATCAGTTGATTTTAATTGAATGTAAAGTTGATTTTTATTTGGATCTAATGTTAGAGAAAGATGCCTAGTAGAATATTAAATTATGAGTTGACACCAAGATTTATAACATTTGGGATTAGGGCCTAGGGATGTTTTAATAATTTAAATATTTTTTGTTATTTTTGTTTATTTTTTAATTAGGAGCCCATGAAATCCAGAGCACCACAGCTGCATTTGGAATACAGATTCTACAAGCAGTTAGGATCTGGAGGTAAAGTCTTATATTAACTTTTAAATTTGTCATAAATTGAATTGTTATCATAATAACTCTTTGGTTTCAAAGAAGAGATTTTAAATTTGGTTAAAATGAATCACTTCTTAAGGTTATGCTTACAAGACATTTCCTTACTAGAGTCTTAATGTTCTCATTTTATTTTATTTTTTAAAGATTTTATTTATTTATATGTCAGAGAGAGAGAGGCAGGCAGAGGGAGAAGCAGGCTCCCTGCTCAGCAGGGAGCCCGATGCGGGACTCGATTCCGGGATGCTGGGATCATGACCTGAGCCCAAGGCAGACGCTTGACTGATGGAGCCACTCAGGTGTCCCTCTTTTTATTTTAATTATGACATTTTTTGGAGCTTACTCTGTTGGTGCTAATAAGAATAGAGAACATTATGAAAAACATTTAATTTGAGAATACAAGATGCATATGACTCCTATAGTCTTAGCCTTTTTGGTGATATTATTTATTGAAATGATTTATGACATAGTAGTAGGCTGAAAAATGGCCCCGTAAAAGATATCCATATCATAATCCTTGGAACCTGTAAATTTACCTTTGCAGGTATGATGAAGTTAAAGATCTTGCAATGGGTAGATTATTCTGGATTATCTCGGTATCACCTAAACACAGTCACAAATGTCCTTGTAGAAGAGAGGGATATTTTATATACACAGAACAGGAGAAGGCAAAGTGGCTATAAAGGCAGAGATTGGAGTGATAGAGCCGTAAGCAGGGAATGATGGCAGTCACGCAAACCTGGGAGCGGCTTCTGGGATCCTCCCTCAGAACCTTCAGAGGAAACATGCCCCTGCCCACACCTTGGTTCAACCTAACGACACTGATTTCAGATTTCTGGGCTCCAGATCTGTGACAAAATAAATTGCTGTTTTAAGCCACAAGCATGCAGTAATTACATTGGCTGTAGGAAGTTAATACAGGTGAATTTTTTTTTTTTTTAAGTACAGATGTATTTTTATGTAAACTCCAAAATTAGTGAGAATGGATATTTTTTGCCATTGGAAAAAAACTAATGAGAACATTTCCTATAGTATGTTGCATGGCCTTTATGTGGAAGCCTCTCACAGCTATACTTTTTCTGTTTACTTCTGTTCTGCTAACTGTAATGATTTTGTATGTGTAGTTTCTTATCAGGTAGGGATATTTTGTTTCCCCAGATTTAATAAAATGGAATTTTTTCATGTGTCTTTTTGTAAGCACACATTTACATTCTAGTTCATAGAGCTGAGCACTTCTTAATGCATTATTAATTTTGCACGTTCTTTTTTTCTAACAGCATACTTTCCAAATGAGTAGTCACTGTGGGGACAATAAATTGACATTTTGTATTAATGTTTTTATCACTGTAGGCTTCTTATAATGCACATCTAAGTCTGATACAGATAGCCCTTCAGGAGTTATCAAAATTAACACTGGCAACTGAAATTTAAAGGATAGGGGGGATAAAACTAATTATGTGTGAAACCATACATATTAGTTAGAACTAGCAAGTGATAGAAAGCCTGAAGAAACTAAGTTAAAAAAAAAAAAAGAGTTTATTGGCTCATCTACTGGAAATTCAGAGAAGGGACCTATTTATAAGATATTATTGTACCCAGGATTTCAAATTCTGCCATCAGGGACATTCTTGAATTTGTTTCTGTGCTCTGCCTTTGTGTGTGTGTGTGTGTGTGTGTTTGTGTGTAAGATTCATTTTCTGGTCGGCCCTTTTTATGAGATGGCAGAGGTAGTTACCAGTAGCCTAACTTAGCAATTATGCCATTTCTTTTCTTTTTTTTTTCATTAAAGATTTTATTTATTTATTTGACGGAGAGAGAGACAGCGAGAGAGGGAACACAAGCAGGGGGAGTGGGAGAGGGAGAAGCAGGCTCTCCGCCGAGCAGGGAGCCTGATGCGGGGCTCGATCCCAGGACCCTGGGATCATGACCTGAGCTGAAGGCAGACGCTTAACGACTGAGCCACACAGGTGCCCCTCTTTTTCTTCTTTTTTTTAAAGATTTTATTTATTTATTTGACAGAGAGAGGGAGCAAGAGCGAGCACAAGCAGGGGGAGTGGCAGAGGGAGAGGGAGAAGCAGACTCCCCACTGAGCAGGGAGCCTGATTTGGGTCTCGATCCCAGGACCCTGGAATGATGACCTGAGCCGAAGGCAGATGCTTAACCGACTGAGCTACCCAGCCATCCCTATAATGTCATTTCTTTCCTGAAAATCTAGCAGAAGTTCTAGGACCAAATCTTTCTGTCTTATTTTGTGTCCCATGCCTTTCCTTGTTTTAATTGCTATGAATGTGATTGCCCAAACTTAGATCTTCTGCTCATCTCAGCAGCTACCTGAAACTCTGGGACTGAGAATGGGGCAAGGTGGTTGCCTATTGGGAAACAGGTGTTAATCAGAAGGAAGAGTGGATGCTGGGGAGATAAAGATAATAGATTGGTCATTACTTACGTAGTAGAGCTATCGGTTGGAAAAATAGGATTGAACACTTTAATTAGAGAAGAATGAATAAGTCAGTTTAGAGTTTAGGGAGTCATTGAATACCAGAGGTACACTTAACTTTATTATTATATTCTTTGCCTTTTTTAACTTTACAAGTTATGTCAGAGTAGTAATAAAAAGGAAGCCCGTGTCTTTACCACTTGAATGCCGTAAGGCTGCAGTGTTCCACAGTGACAGGGCCCACCATGTAGAAGACAGTCCGTATATATCAGGTGCTCCCCTGTGCTCCATGGCATAGCATTTATGGAGGTCAAAATACGAATGGTATTGCATGGAGCTGACAAAAGTGTGAATAGTTTTGAGTATTTTATGTGAATCATGTGAATTTAGGTTACTATATAGTTTTTTATCAATCATGAATTTTAAAACATTTTTGAGTGCCCCTGTGAGCTTTGTAGCAAAACAAGAGTTTAGTTGTTTGGGGAGGGACTTATGATTTTAAAATAGTTTGAATTGGGGGCTGCTGGCTGGCTCAGTCAGTAGAGAGCATGTGACTCTTGATCTCAGGGTCCCGAGTTCAAGCCCCACAGTCAGCGTCTAGTCTACTAAAAAAAAAAAAAGTTTGATTTTGGAATTGATACTTGAAAGGATTATATTTTCAGACTGCTCTTAATCATAAATAAGCCATTCAAAGTAATTTAACTTAAAACTCTCTTAAGGCACTTCAAGTTTTATTTAAGTAGCAGTTTGCTTGTTAGTGTTCTCTTTAAAAATAGGTATAATTAATCAATATCCACACTATTTAATGAACTCCTAAGACTTGACCCCAAGATACAGGCAGTCCACTTCAAAAGTGGGCAAAGGGCTTAAATAGACATTTCTCCAAATATATACAGATGGCCAATAAGCACCTGAAAAGATGCTCAGTATCAGTAATCATTAGGGAAATGTAAATCAAAACTACAGAGATATACCACTTCATACCCATAGAATGGCTGTTATCAAACAAATGAAAGACAACCAGCAACCAGTAAACAAGTGTTGGTATGAATGTGCATTGCTGGTGGGAATGTAAAATGGTACAGCTGCAGACATTATGGAAAACAGTTCCTCAAAAAAGTTAAACATAGAATTGCCATTTGATCCAGCAATTCCACTTCTTGTTATCTGTACCAGAGATTGCATGCTAGCAGATATTCGTAAACCCATGTTCAGAGCAGCATGATTTGCAGTAGTGGGGTGGGAACAACCCAAGTGTCCATCAGTGGATGGATGGATAAACAAAATGTAATCTATACATACAAGGAAATATATTATTCAGTCTTTTTTTTTTTAAGATTTTATTTATTTGAGAGAGAGAGAGCACGAGAAAGGGGAGGGTCAGAGGGAGAAGCAGACTCCCTGCTGAGCAGGGACCCTCATGTGGGGCTCCATCCTGGGACTCCAGGATCATGACCTGAGCTAAAGGCAGATGCTTAACTGACTGAGCCAGCCAGGTGCCCTGAAATATTACTCAGTCTTAAAAAAGAAGGGAAGTTTGGACACATGCTACAATATAGATGAACCTTGAGGACATTTTGCTAACTAAAATAAGCCTGTCATGAAGGGACAAATACTATGTGATTCCACTTATTTGAGGTACCAAGAGTAGTCAGATTCAGAGAGACAGGCAGCAGAATGGTGGTTGCCAGGGGCTGAGGGGAGAGGGAAATGGGAAAATACTATTTCATGGGTATGGAGTTTCAGTATGAAGTGATGAAAGAGTTCTGGAGATGAGTAGTGGTGACGGTTGCCCAGCAGTGTGAATATTTGCCTCATACCACTGACCTGTATACTTACAAATGGTTAAAATAACACATTTTATATCATGTATGTCTGACCACAATAAAAACAAAAATTAAAAGATGGATTTATTTAGAATTATTTATTGAGCTGTCTGTGAAAACATACATAATTTCTCTAGTTCTGCCTGTCTGGGTTTTGAACCCCCTGTAAGTCCATATGTCTCTCGTTCTCTTTCTCTAACTGCTCGGAGAATATCCCTGTTTTCTCTCTCATTTGTTCACTGAATCCGTTCTATACAGACAGTGGGACCGTACAGCTTTAGTGCATAGATGAGGGATTGCCTCTCTCGTACTACTTAGCTTTCCGTAGGATTGGAATATTGTGTTTTATACCAAGATCGCTTTCTGTGGTAGCGAAAATGTAATATATTGAATAGTCTTGTTTTGTCACATCCAGTCAGCATTTCCTGAGTCAAACAAGATCTAGATTTGGGAGTCATCAGCACATAGGTGGTTTCTAAAGCTAAGGGTTGAGATCCCCCAAGGGAGAGTACAGAGCGTGACACGAGAAGAGAAACAAGAGACAAAAGCATGCTGACCATGGTGTTGGGCACAAATGACTTTGTCAGTAACAAAAATCATGATAGCAGTAGTTTACACAAGTGAAGGGATATTTTGTGAGGAAGAATCAACAGGAGTTTTCAGGTAGACAATTGTAGGGTTGATACAGCTGCTCAACGGTAAGGCAT